ATGACTATAAATATAAAAGTGAACATTGAAGTCAACATTCAGAAGTGACAGGCGGTTTCATGCTAGACGCAATGGTCAGGCCTGACGATTGCGTCTAGCATGAAACAGCATAAACATTAATTGAATGTTGACTTCAGAAATTTTTATATTTATATTTGCATTTTCTATCTCTGATATTATGAAACTTAAACCCATAAATATAACACACCTTAAAACTATATTTCTCCATATATATATCTATATATATATATATATATATATATATATATATTATAAATTAATTGATTTAAATTTTTTTTTCGCTACACAGTTCTAACCATGTTTGAAAAATGGAAGCTAAAAGCCACGAATTTAATATTGCAATTAAATTAAAGACATTGGTTCCATTTCATCCTCAATGATACAGACATAAGGAAAACCCAGACACCCCTTGTCCAATTGAAGTAGATTTATCTGTAACCATGGAAACGTGATTTTAGCTGTGTCTTTAAAACCCAGTAATTTTAAAAGTTACTCCAAAATTCAAACAATTAATTTATAATATTAATGCTCTGTAAATTTACATTGATCACTATTTTTGTAAAAATAAAAATATCTATAAAAAACTGGATTATATATCTTTTGTTTCTTTCTTTTTATTTAAACACACACACACACACACACACACACACACACACACACACACACACACACATATATATATATATATATAAATAAAATATATATATCTGTGTGTGTGTCTGTAAACCGTATTTAAAAATAAAATCATTATATATATATATATATATATATATATATATATATATATATATATATATATATATATATATCAAATATATGGTGCAGTTCAATTTATATTACAATGAATGATTCATACAAAAAAAAGTAAATTAGTAAAGTTAATGATATAAAATAACGAAATCACTTCGTTCACAAAATTTTAAAGATGCATTAACTTATCAATCACTCGACGAATGTTATGATCCTTGTTTTTAAAATTATAATCTGTATTAGGTCTTTCTTAAATACGCAAGTACTTTCGACTCTACAGTCAATCATCTTCAGGCATGAAAATTATATCTATATCTATATATATATATATATATATATATATATATATATATATATATAATTTTCATCGTTTTATGATAACACTGAAGTGATAATTTAATAACGAGTTTTAATAATCTTGGAAAGTGACCAGCGAAACTGGAAATTCGGGGTAAAGTCAAAACTATCCAGACGATGGCATTATTTATTTTTAAAAAGTAGCCATTTATATTGGAGTATTGAAGAAAGTATTCTATATTTATATATATTTAATATGAATAAATATATTTAGATATCTTTGTCATATTGGGATATTATTCAACCATTTTGAATATCTCAAGAAGTGTTTGTGTGGCCTTAGTGTAACGTGGCAATCTATCACAGAGACTTTACTACATATGCGCAATTGAACACTCTGCCGTACGCTTACTCAGTCGGTAGTGAGATAACTTGGATTTAGCTTGTGGAATGTGTGTTCATTGCATTCACAATGTATATATATATGCATAAAGTTTTGTTTGAAACTTGGATATTCGTTTACTTCGAATCTATCGTAATCAATAAAAAAAAGCTTTCAGAGGATGTTCCCATGAGCGAAGACGGGTAACATTTAGGTAACAACGCTTTTGGCTGAGAATCTGTTGAAGGAATTCACGTCGTGGAATTCATTCAACAAGCAGGAGACTTATAAAAAAAAAAGAAAATAGCCGATTGCAATTACAGGAATCTGAGAGTACAGACTGTCCGGAAACTAACCAGCGATTTTCAATATCAACGCCCCATTCTTCATGGTTCGTGCAATTTTGTAAACCACCACTTCACGTTCCCTGCTAGTTTCGGCTTTGCCCAAAGCTAAAATCATCATTGAAATGGAAGAAAATACAAGCCGTGGACGAGAGTAAGGAGAACGTGATAAGACGGGTAATAGTGCTAACGAAAGATCACTTTATAAATTGTAGCTTGGAAGGGATGCCGGAATAAAAGTTTGAAATCCCAAGGGATTAATCTGAATGAACTATGTAGACATTGCTTAAGGGAGGCGACATTTTTCCGTGAAATTAATTAATTGCATCATTATAATTGTATATCTTATATTTATAAACAGTTCACACACACACACACATATATATATATATAAATCTATCTATCTATCTATCTATCTATCTATCTATCTATCCACCCCTCACACACACACGCATATTAATGAATCATATCTATCTATCTATACACCCTTTCACACACGCATATATATATATATATATAGAGAGAGAGATATAGATATATAGATATGAATATTATCTCTCTATCTATCTACACTCCATCACACACACATATATAAATCATATCTATCTATCTATCTATCTATCTATCTATCTATCTATCTATCCCTTCACACACACACACATACACACATATATATATATATATATATATATATATTATCTCTCTATCTATCTACAGCCCCCTCACTCACACATATATAAATCCTATCTATCTATCTATCTATCTATCTATCTATCTATCTATCTATCTATCACCCCCTCACACACACACACACACATATATATATGCTTACGATTTTAAATTTACATCTCGCTTATGATCAATCTAAAATGAATTCATTTCTAATGTTTCTTACTTGATACTTTCTGGTACGTTGTACTTCTTTTTATTTTTGTGTGTGTTTTGCGCGCGCGTACGCACACACATACATTCACACACACACACACATATGTATTTAAGGTATGTGATATTCACAGGTAAATCTGCTCGACATCAGAGATAGAGCGTATGTACATATAAAAGTGGACACTGAGGTCAACACCATGCGGTGACAGCCTGTTTCATGCTTAAACGCAATATCTCTTCTGTTTTCTTTTCTTTTTTTTCATCGAAATGCTTAAAGGATGCGTTCAAAAATGAAACATACTGTCGTTGCATGGTGTTGAACTTAGTCATATATTTGGGACTATATATTTTAATTTTTTATGATCAAAATTGGCAGGAAACCAAGAAGCCATTTCAACTGTAAAATGATGGGACCTTATCGCCAATCTAGTACTGCGCTTAAATTCATAAAATCAAGGTACCATAGAATAAACTTTATCCAAACAATAACTACGAAAGTATTTATAGAAAAGAGATAGTGAAGCTACGTTACGGCGTTGGGAAAGTGACTGAAGCCGAGATGCCAGGTCAAGACCAATAACAATGTAGATTTTTTCTCTAAATATATAGCAGGAGCACCAGGCCAGACGTGATGGTAATATTCAAAGCAAAAACGAATAAATATGCAAAATAAAATCTGGCGAGAAAAATTGTCTAGCACGACATAGTGAATCAACATTTTTAGCTGCAGATTAGGAATTGATTTAAAATAATCTTTCTACTTCATGTCACCCGAAAACGCTAATCCGTGAAGGTGCAATGTGTTACTCACTTGGAGGTTAGCATCAGTCATTCTCATGGAAGGTAAAACGGCTTCTTCCAGATGACTAAATGAGAACAGTTTCGCTTTTGAGGCGTTAAAATGAATAAACCACTCCGTGTCCCATTAAACAACAGATTGTAAGTCATTTTTGAGATCAACTTAATACGTACCTCTCTTAGTCACCCAGTTGGATTTGATAACGTTGACTTTTTGTTTTATTTTTTCGTTCATTATTTCTTTTTTAGTTTAATTAATATTTTTGCCAAAAGCATGTTTCGTCCTGGGTAGGAGGATAAACTACATCCGCGTCCCGGGTTAGACGATAAACTACATCCGCATCCCGGGTAAGAAGATAAACTACATCCGCATCCCAGGTAAGACGATAAACTACGTCCAACTGCAAGGCTTCTGATCAGGAGGAATGTGGAATCACCTCTTAATTGCTGGTGTTCCCAGGTCCATCTTGACCCGGGATGTTAGCACATGTTAGGGTCCTAACTATGGGCAAATAGTTAACCCCTAAAGTGGGGTCAAAACACTATTAAAATGTAAACATAGGTTTTAATACCAGCAATACATTTTTATAAAAAATTATTACTAGCAATGAATTTACGAAGAAAAATTATTACCAGCAGTATATTACTAACAGTAATACAATCAACCATTCACCCTTGCATGGAGTATTGCTGCCATATATGGTCTGGAGCCCCTTCTTCTTTTCTCACAGTCCTTGATAAAATCCAGAGATGGATATGCAATGTAATTGGCCCTGATCTGGCATCTCGTCTGCAGTCGCTCTCTCACAGACGTGCAGTCGCCTCCCTCTGTCTTTTTTTACAAATACTTTCATGGTAACTGCTCCGATGAGCTGCTTTCGCTGGTTCCTAGACTTCATGAATTTAAGCGTTCTACTAAGCTGGCATCTCGCTCTCACCCTTTCACTGTCGAAACTGTTAAATATAGCCGTCTCTTCTACTCCAATGTCTCGCACTTCTCGCCTGTGGAACTCCCTTCCTATTTCTTGTTTCCCTGATAGCTATAATCTCCAACTATTCAAATGTAATGTCAATCGGCGTCTCCAGATGCCCTGATCTATCCCCTATCCTTCTCTTCATCCTTTCCTCTATCACTTCTATTTGCTCTCGCTCCAACTCTCTGTAACCCATTGCGTGCTAGTGGCTTCTCGTCTTGCTTGGGGTGAAATGCGTTAAAAAAAAATACATTTTTGAAGGAAAAATATATTACCAGCAATACAGTTTTTAAGAAAAATATTACCAGCAATACATTTTTGAAGAAAAAAAATTATTACCAGCAATACATTTTAAAAATAAAACATATTACCAGCAATACATTAAAAAAAATATTAGCAGCAATAAAAATCTTGTCGGCATTAAATAATCCTTTGGGATTGATATACTGTAAACCAAACCAAAGCAAACCGAACCGATACGAACCGAACAAAAAGCATATATTTTTCTTTGTATTCGACGTTCGTTTCTTTCGATTTCTTTATATTCAGATTGTCAGTCTTTCTCTTTCCTTCCTTCTTTTTGGTTTCTTTTCTTTCTTCTTTTTCTTCATTCTAATTCTCTTTTCTTTTTTCTTTTCTTTTTTCTTTTCTCTTTTCTTTTCTTTTCTCATTTCTTTTTTCTTTTTTGTTTTGTTTTCTTTTTTCTTTTCTTTTCGTTTTTCTTTTCTTTTCTTTTTTCTTTTCGTTTTTCTTTTCTTTTCCTTTTCTTTTTTCTTTTCTTTTTCTTTTCTTTTTTTTTTTTTTTTCTTTTCTTTTTTCGTTTGCTTTTCTTCCCCCCACCCATTTTTGATTTATTCTTTTACCTCTCTTTCACTTTTTTTATACGTTTATCTTTCGAAATTATTTAAAAACAAAAAAGCCTGCGAAGTGTGACATGATCTTCTAACAATTCTTTTGCATTTTTCTGCATCCTTGGTTCGTCTCTTGACATTTCCCGAGATCTTTCGTATAAGAGAGGAATATTTGGTCACCACTCGTTTCAGCTCCATCTTTAATATCTATATTTTAAGAACTGCATCTTCTTTACTCGTTGTAATTCTTACTCTTTTCCTCTTTTCATCGTCATGTTTTAAAGATAACTCCTCCTTAGAATTATCACCAAGCAAGTAGAGTACGGGAAATTTATGCCCTTTTAAAAAGGATTTTTTTTATAAATTCCATTTTTAGTCTCGTCCATCGATCATTTCCTTCCGTTTCCGATGGTTCTCAATAAAAACTAACCCGAAGCATCTGTTGTCTTGTTTACAATCAATTCATTTTTTTCTTTCGTTCTACTGACTACAACTTCCCAATACATATTAGGCATATATCTAATGAGGGAGATATGCACAGCATCGCCATCACTTTAAACTTGTCTGTGTTCCACTTGATAGGATAGACAAGAAAGTATATAATATTCATTCTAAAGTGAAAAGAATCACTAAACGTTTCTCTAAAATCTGTAGGTTTTCAATATTTCTTTTCTTTACGTAGACTCTAACAGTCTTTCCTTTCCATCCACCTGGGTAGATTTGGAGAGAGACGAGTATGTGCTCTATGGGACATTTCACTTGATCTAACCTAAATACACACATATACAACGGTAGATCAATATTTTCGTAGATGCATGTGCATTTGAAATTTGATCTAACAGTGTCACAATGTAAGAAAACATTGTAAGCTAAAAATAGTTCTTAAGTAAAATACATGTTTATAAAGTCTGTTTAGTAACTTATTGATGTATCTACATATATATTTTTATTACTTTAAATGTTATTTTTAATAGATAACCATATTTAAGTAGACGTTCAGTTTATTTTAAATAATATTTTATTTCGTCTGCCGACATGCATAATCGAGAAAACCTATAAAAGAAAATGTATCCACCTGCAGGATTCGAACCTACGTTTCACTATTGTAGGAGAAAATGCCGTTTGATTTGATTGCCCGACGACGACGTAGAGCTTCCCAATCAAGCGACGTTCTACTTTAATTAAAAGGAATAAAAAAAACTTGTAATTCCAATGAATATTTTTTTTTTATTCATGGAAATATTTCGGCTAGCAGTTGCCTGTCGTAGTCACTCCTTAATTTTAGTAAAACAGCCGAAATATTTCCATAAAAATATAAATCATTCTTTGAAATTGAAAGGTTTTTTCTTTCTTTTAATTATGCAACGACCAACGGTGAAAAGCATCCTAACTATGAGGTTCTACTTTGCCGTTGAAAGCCTTTTTAATCGTTCAGATATCCTCTAAAGTCATAAGTGTTTAGTTTTTTTTTTATCCGAAACGTAAAAAAAATGCAGCTACAAAAAATTAAAGGGTTTCTTTTAATCCTACATAAATATCTCGGCATGAAAAATAAAATCCATTAGTTCTTGTCGGATTAAAAAATAAAATATTTTATATATATATATATATATATATATATATATATATATATATATATATATATATTCGTGTATAGGATTGGTGTATACGGAAAAATTCCAATAACCCAAAAATACTATTCTTAAAAGAGTGCTCAATATTCAACACTATCATTGATAAGACACCAGAAATGTTGAAACAAAATGGCTATTGTTGTAGTGATTTTAGAAAATATTTATGTTATCATTTTCGAATAAATAATTATATATATATATATATATATATATATATATATAGATAGATAGATAGATATGTAAATAAAAATCCATTAACGATACACACACACACACGCATATATATATACATATATATATATATATATATATATATATATATATATATAGATAGATAGATAGATAGATATGTAAATAAAATCCATTAACGACATATATATATATATATATATATATATATATATATATATATATATATATATATATTCATAAATAAATTTTGCTCTCTCGAAAAGAAATCTCGTCTAACTGACTAATGTTTCGGATTTCAAATCATTTTTCGCCAAGAGACACAGAAATACGTTCTAAGTGAAACCTTTAAGTAATGTTGGTTGACTCTGGAGATTTAATTTTGTTAACGCAAATATCCTGTGATGATTTCCGATTCATGTGTCAACCACATGTTGAAAATGTCCTTCCCAACCTGTCCTCATCGACCCCAAAACTTTTTCTGAAAAGTCCATTAAAAAATATCACTCATCGGAAAAAGCAGAATATGAAATATTTGGAATTCCTGTTTAAAATATAAACTTTTAACTGGGGAAGAATACTAATAATCGAAACCCTGCCAAATGCCTTCGAGATATCCAAAGTAATTGTTATAAAGTTAATATGATAGCTTAAGTTTAAAACAAAATCCAGAAGGAAAATATAGGTCTAATATAAAAAATCTCAATGCACATAAAACCACTAGAAATTAATAGCACCGTCCAACAGTCACTTCAAAACGCTCCGATCATATTCAAAAATGTAGCGTCACACATGCGTAGTGGGACAATTGCAAATGGCGACGACGGCCATGTTGGATTTACACGCCAAACAGGTACATATCTGCATTGCCCGGCGTGGTAAGTGTATTCTCTCACTACAGTGATACTGAATTTTACCATCGTTATATTTGATAGTCTCTGTTAGCACATCAGCATTTGACCTAGAAAAGCGAAAGTCATATTGCTTATCGGAACAAAGAGCATTCAAGATGAGATGCTTAAGCAGGTCAGAGTTGGTTTGAGCATTTACAACGTTGCTAAAAAGCGGTAGACGCTAATAGGCCGATAGAAGAATCAGATAGTTCGCCTGATTTCTTAAATATATGGATTTCCAAAAAGCAGGAGAACAAAAAGCAGCAGGCACTTATTGTACAGTTTAGAAAAAAACATCAGCCTGTATGGGAGCACATTTAATATTATTTATTATTGATTACTTTATAATTTGTTTTTGATTCGATAATTAAGCAGGTCCCACAACCAATTGACCGCACGTTATCTGACAATTCTTTCAGTGAAACAATTTTCAACGAAGCCAAAAAAGATTGTGAAACAATCCTAAAAGATAGTGGATTTTTGGCAACACTCACACACCCCTAAGCACAACAGGAAAAGAAACATCATATGTTTCAACCAACCGTACATCAAAAACGTAAAAACAAAGTTAACAAAAATATTCATTAAACTCATACAAAAACACTTCCTCCATCAAGCACTTTCCACAATATATTCAATAAAAGCACAGTAAAAATCAGCTACATTTGCACAGAGAACATGACACAAACAATAAAAAGCACAATAGAAAAATAACCAACAAACAACACGTACAAATCAATCCCACGTGTAACTACAGAGGAAATGTCTTTTAAACGGCAATTGCTTAAAAAATAATGTAATATACCAAGCCATTGTAAAATCAGCAGATAGAAAGGAAAAAATATGCATAGGAGTAAATGAAGGGCCCTGGAAACTGAGAAACTACCTACAAAAAATATCTTTTACAAATATTAAATACGCGAGCAGAACAACACTTTCTAAACATATATGAGAAATTAATAACAAAACCCAAATTGCACTAAAATGATCATGGAAAATAAGAAAAGTACCATCAACCTACAACAATAAATCCAAAAACGATAAACTTTGTCTGGAGGAGAAAGTAGCTATATTCACCTTTCTAAGCCAAATACTAAATAAACGATCAGGACTTATCAAAACTTAACTCATAACGCAGACACGAAAACAAATGCTTACTACGTTACTTAAAAATCAAAAACTATACAAGAATACCTTGTAAAGTTCCACCATGAAAAATGCAAATATATGGACTATACACAATGCAGATAATATAACATACTTTAGACAAAGCCAATACTTTAACTAAATAAATAACCTCGAACAAATAGTAAAATAAACAAAAAATATGAATAAATATAGAAATTAAATAAATAATAAACAAATTACGCATGCACTCATTCGTTCGTTGAGTTAGACTCATTGCCGAGTATTGGGGTGTTCATCGACATTTCTTTCTATGCGAAATACATCCAATGTTGAATCTTAAGAGACGTTCGCAACCGCCGTATGGTAAGGTAGGAGAGTTTCAGAGCATGGAGAGCTCTGGCTTTTCTTTGGGCTTTCTTCGCCTCTCCCATATTTACTTCTGGTGTTTTCGAAGAATCTTGTTTTTGTTGTGGACTGTTCTTCCCTTATTGGTGCTTTCTGCAGTTTCCGTATCCCAATGCACACATAAACATGAGTGAACGCAGTAGTAACTATCAACAGTAAATAATAAAGTAAACTATAATAAATAATGAGCAAAAAATTTTAAAAAAATACAACACTATAAAGTAGCTACAAATAACTGCATTCGGATCCACAATTATTTCCACTCAATAACCACATGAACAATTTGAAACATAACCGTTACCGTTCGAATGATACAATAGACCTTGATACCCATGATGCACTATTGACCAGAATATATAAATAGTCGAGTCAAAATACAACATGGCTTGAAGACTGTGGTTAAGCAAGAAACAGACTGTCAAAGCTTGGTGTTGACCAGAGTGTCCCCTCATATATATATATATATGAAGAAATATAATTTGAGGCGTGCTATATTTATGGGATAAAGTGCTGAGTATCAGAGATAAAGGGTATATAAATATAAACATGAAAGTGAACATTGAAGTCAACACTCTGACAGGCTGTTTCATATTGCCAATATTGCGTCCAGCATGAAAAAACAGTCTGTCACCTCTGAATGTTGACTTCAATGTTCACTTTTATATATATATATATATATATATATATATATATATATATAATGTTTCGTATATAATCCAAGTGAATCTTAATAACATAATATTAAATATTAAAACTGATTCATATAGAGCTCAATGTTTCTATAATAAACAGAGCAATATATTTCATA